TCGCCGTTTTCGTGCCCCCCCCCCCCCCCCCCGGCACAAATTAAAGCTCTGGAAGAATAGATCCAGGCTGGGCTTCACCCCTCGGGACTTGCAGGGCTGGAGGAACCCCGCAATGTAGGAGTGGCTGTTGGGCGTGAGTTGGCAGGGGACCAAACCAACAAACCTCAAATACTCCCGGAGGAACGGGTGCAGAGGGAACCTAAGTCCCATGGAAACCGAGAGGACGTGAATGGTGATACACCCCTCAGGCGCCCTGGACAACACGTCGTCGGGACCTGGCTCCACCACTTCGGCCGAGGGCCCCACGTGCAGCTGAGTCACGTACAGATCTGCCCTATCAGCCTTCGACCTAATCTCGAGGGCCTCAGTGTTCAGCCAACTGTACCCCTCGGGCATGTCCACGGGCTTTCCTTGATCGACGGCCCTCTCCTTCTTCTTGGTAGCGGCCTTCTTCTTCTTCAAACCGGAAACCGCCCTCAGAGGTATCGGATCCAGCGGCCTCGAGCTACTGGCCTCCCCAGAACCCCGAGGGGGGAGAACAGCAATCGTAACCTTCGAGCTCTCATTCTGCGCCTCATCCTCCGCTGTTTGCCATGCGAGGGCTAAGTCTTCATCCTCGCACTCCTGCTCGAAGCCCTCGGCTTCGACCTCAGCAATGAGTTCCTTCTGGACCTCCCGGGCCAGGGCGGCATCAGCACCGTCCGAGGGCTCGCTCACGGACTCCATATCTGAAGCGTGCTCCTCATCAACCGAAGGGTCCCCCGATATGTTTTGGGAATCGCTCTCGGACGACATTCCTTGCCACGAAAAGCACCTAAGGTTTCGAAAGATTTCTACGGGACGCTAACCCTAATCTAAGGCCAGAGGGCGGAACTTACAAAAAGTGCTGAGGGGAAAGCGGGACACTGACCTTGAAAAGAGTTTGACCGAAGGCTTGAGTTTCTCTCTCTAGAATTTTTTGCAGAGCTTCGCTAGGGATGTTGGACGCGTAAAGGAGGAATGGCCCTGGCTTGGGGTATTTATATGCTCCCAGATCCGGGCTTGGGCCGAGATCCGGGCTCCCAGCCGTCAAAGCCATCATTACGCACCGTGGTTTCACCCAACCAGTGACGCCCGCCCGCGAGCAGCCAATGGCTACATGACACGTGTACCCCCCCCCCCCCCCAACGGCTATAAACCTGACGTTAGGTATTCCAACGGCTATATTCCCAACGGCTATATTCTGGAAGCCCCCGGGTTTTCTACTTCACTCCACTTCATCAAGGATAGCCCCCGGGTACACTTACCCAGAAGTGCCCCCGGGTTGTGCCCCACACAGCACATAACAGACGCCTTCGGGATCACTCCTTCAGAAACCCAAGGTTTCATATCAGGGCGCCCCTCGGGGATTCCCCTTCAGCACTGCAAAACCGGGTAGCCCCCGGGGAGTTGCCTCATTGACGGATGGCCCATGGCACACAGGTAATGGGAGCCCTCGGGTATCTTCTTCACCAACTAATCAACAAACAGTGGACCCCCCGGTAACAACTCCATTGTCGCCCTCGTCCAGCAGGCCCTCGATCCCCGAATTGAGGGGCTCCCCTTCGGCGCCACCAGGACGTCAACAGCAAGCCTTCGGCTAATCAACACAGGAGCCCTCAGAAGAGAGAGCCTTCGACATTCCCGTCATTCTCCACTTTTTACCAAGGTTTGACATTTTCGATTCATCGTTGGGGGAATTCGGTGCACTCTTTTTCCCTCATTAGGATTTTTTCCCAAAGGGTTTTTCCTAACGAGGTTTTTAACGAGGCATCCCTCTAAAATGAAACGAAAAAACGACAGCCTTCGGCCCACAACAGCAACGCAACTACTCTACTCCTTCTCACCACTTTACAAGTGCCTCAAGGAGTGGGGGACTGGAGGACCCCCTCGGGAAAATCATTAAATTACAAAAGATGTAGAAATTCCAACAAACAACAAAGCAAGCCCTCAAGTCCCGACATGTGGGTAACTGAGGGACTGCCTTCGGCAGGGACATAAAAGCAACAACTCCTCACCAACTTCAGAGATCACGACGGGACAACATCAAAGGGAAAGCACAAATTACTCCTTTTCCCTCAAGTACCTTTCGGCAAAAGGAGTGAGGGACTCCTGATGGAGTATATGGCCCGGGAACCCCCGGCCCACAGACTCCTACTACTCCAGCGAAAGCCCAACAGGCCCAGAAGGCCCAACAGGCCCAGATCACAGCGCCCAGAGTACCAAGCAGCCCGCACTACGCGCCAGGGGTGCCTTCGGCCCCCTGGCCGAAGGCTCTAAACTCTCACAGGACGGGCTTCGCAAGCAAATTAAGAAACTGGGAGAAAACGGCGAAAACAGTAGCCCTCGGCACTGTGAGCCCTCGGCACCAGAGTTCCATCGGTTGGAGGAGCCATCGGCCATTGCTCTATAGCCGAAGGCATCTCACTCGACAAGATATCCGCCTCACATGCGTGCAGATCACCGTACCCTGCACAGACGTCCCATCCAACAGCCGCATTAAATGCGGCCACATGCGGCTGCCAGCGCCAACCAGTTGAGGTGACCCCTCGGCCAATGAGCGCCTGGCACGTGTCCCTGCCCGGCATTTATTGCTACTATAAATAGCACCCCATTTCCCCATTTGTAACCACGCTGAAAACGGCATTCATATTGAATACACCCTCTCTCTACTTTTACTTACTTGCTCTGACTTCTCTCTAAGTTATTCCCCGTAATAACCCTTCGGATATATACCCCCGGGTAGACTATCCATCACCATGTTTGCCAAGTGTGGCTTGAACACTTGTAATGTTGTTTCCGCTGTTTTAAATGAATGATTTACATTATGTTTGTTTATGGATGTACTATGTGTGAATGATATTCATGACGCCTTGTATAGTATGGATGGGTTGGACTGCGGTTGACTATTCGTACTGTACGGCGGGTTGTTGACGTGTCCGGCTAGGTCCGGGGCGTGACATATCCTCTTCCGCGCCCGACTCTCTCCCATTTGTCCTTCGCAAATCTAGATCCGCGCAGCTTCAGTCTCCGCCTCCGAAGCTTGGTCGCCGCCTCTCCTCCATCTCCCGGTCACCACCTCTCCTCCATCCTACGGTCACCGCCTCTGAGTCGCCGCCTCCACCTCCAGGTCTTCATCCGCTACACATCTTCTTCTTCTTCTTCTTCTTCTCCTCAATTTCTATCCGGCATATTGCAATGGAGACGAAGAGTCATGGGTTAAAAGAAGTCTACGACTTTAAATCAGCGTGGAGGCTAGTTTTTTTGGAGAGGGCGGTGGTCTGCTGGGGCTGGGGGAAGGATGTAGCGGTGATATGCGGCGATTGCAGGGGGTACGGTGCCAGTGTAGGGGGCTATGGTTGTTCAAAGGCTAGGGTTGGGAATGGGGCTGCCGAGGCGGTGACGCTCATCGTCGGGGAATGACGATGGTGTGCATTGGTTAGGGGCTGAATATGGTGGTGGTATGAGGTGTTTGTGGCAGCATTAGTGCAGGGGAATGGGGGTTGGGAAGGGGAATGCCACGATGGTGACCCTGCCGGAGGGTGTGCGATGGAGGTTTCAGATCTGGTGTGATGGTGGTGGATGTGATGGTGGCTGCGGATGGTGGTGGTAGGGTGATTTCATGCGTTGGTTGTAGGAGTTCGGGCTGGGAGGGTGCTGGGGGATGGGGAGGGGGCTTGTAGGCTAGGGAGGGGACTGGTGGGCTGGGGAGGGGGCTGGTAGGCTGGGGAGGTCCAGTGAGGTCACGGTTAGGGAGGTTGGGAGGGGGTGGTGGGATGGTGAGGGGGCCCAGGGGGAGGGGTCGGGTATGTGGGTTGGGGAGGCGGCAGTGGCGTTGCCATTGGCGTGGCGGTCAAATTTGTTGAAATTTACATTTCCGAAAATTATAGTGACAGCGGCGGCGGCAATGACACGTTTAACGGTGGCAAAGTGACACGTTTGACGGCGGCACAGTGACACGTTTGACGGTGGGAGTGACATATTAAAGTGACATGAAAACCGGCAGTGACATTCGAAAATGACACAAAATTAGTGATACAAAAAAATAACAGTGACATAAAAATTTGGCAGAACTATATTTTTCCAAATATATGACCTCCTATGTAACATTTTTGTCCTTTTATAAAAGTGACCGCATTTTTGGAAATTGGCTCTAAAGTAGTAATATTCCTAAAAAGCTCATATCTTATCATATATGCCATGGATGATACTTTGATTCTTAAGGGATTTGAATGACAAATACACATACAATAGTGTGGGGTCTAGTTATTCAGCATGGCGGCCGTAACCAATGTTTATCAGCTTCGCCGTTGTCGTCTTCTCCTTTTTTACAATTTTCCAAAATCTATTTTTTACATTCTTTTACTAATTTGAGCAAAACGGACAATTGCAATTACAAAAACACGGAGGTATAAATATACCCTCTCTTGCGTTTGAGATGTTGATTAGCTAGGTGTATTACTAAATTGTTTCGAACATGTTAATTTTATGGATGTTGGTACCTTTTTTTCCGTCCCATTGGACATGGTTAACTTTTTATTTTGTGTTAAACAAATTTGTCACTTTCACATTAAAGAAAGTAATTTGTGGTTCTACATCTTTATCTCTATTCCATAGTTAGTTAAATACGGTACGAGAATTAAACGAAGTTTAATACACACGCATTTTATTTGGTAACATGAATGAAAAATGATCAAAAATTCGTTGACTTTTAAAAAACGTGTAAATACGTATACGTGTATAATACGATATCTGTTACAAAAATTCGGACAAAAAATACGGGGTATTATTTCGAACATTTAAATTATATACTTCACAAAATAACATATATAGTAAAAAGAAATAACATTATACACATTTTCAAGTAGCAAATTTCATTACTACATGAAACAACTATTCATAAATGCATAAGTTGATGACAAAAGGAAAGGATAGTACTTAAGTCCAAGACATAATTTTGCAAAATAATGTCAAAAAGATAAGGCATAGTAACGATAGAATGAGTCTAAGTTAAAATCATTATCTTTATATGATAATCAAATAGAACTCAAGTTAAACTCAACATTTCCATCAAGATAACGGATGACATATGAGAAAATTTGTGTGATTACTACGCTTATATTATTTATGTGTAAAAGTTTATACCAAAAAATGTAAGATTTAGAAAAAAACCTTAATTTTGATATGTTTGCTTGCAAAAATATCAGAAATATAGTAGTATTTCAAATTTTAGTCTTTTAGAATGCTAGTTTTAGCCGCAATGCAATTAATTTTAGTATTTAATAATCATATATTTTTTTATTGTAACAACACAAAAACATGGGGCCATAGGTGAAAGTTTTCTTTTTTACTTACAAACTATTGTCTATCTAATGCATTCATTCAATTGATTAATTCGTATTTCTATTTAATAAGTTTCAAACTATTGTCTACCACGGGAAAAATACGTTTTTATATGAGAAGTATGAGTTTTTTTCCTTTTTAAACGGACCAAAGATATTATTTTTCGTTTTAAACGTGTTTTTTACTCAAAAAAACGATACATGTTTAAAAAGCGTTTAAAATGCAAAAAAAACTAACTGGACTCTATTCTGCACAAAATATAATCATTCAATTTTTACTATTATTTATGACTTAATTAATGACCATTGGGACCGAACATAATACACAATAATACACAATACATATGTGTGGGCCATAACGGGGTCATCACGGCGTCACCACCGACTCCACCTACGTCGTACGGTATCAAATCGCCATGTCAATTATTATTGCCGTTCAACGAGTCTGACCACCTGCCCGACTCAGCCCCAGCCGAACTGGCCGACTCACTGCCGGCGTTGTTCACCACCCGCGGCCGCCTAACTCCGAGCCGGCCCCTCAGAGCGGTCCTCAGCGTTTTCCACAGCCCTGTTTTCTTCCCCGCTTCTTTCTTCATCGACCTTACCCGGCCAGTGCAAGAAACCACGGGAGAACCGGGTTCAGCTCCATCTGTCACCAATCGGCCCTTGCCTCCCGGTTCGGACCGGCTCCGGAACAACATCCTCGTCTTCGCCGCCGCCTTATTGTGCCAGAGGTTGGCGTCGGAAATGGGGAGAGCGAGGAGGGAAGACTTGTTGTGGTCGTGATGGTTCAACGTGGAGAGTGAGCGATGAGAGAAAGGGTTGCTACTGTGGTGGTGGTGGTGGTGGCAGTTTCCGGTGACGGAGGACCTTGCCAGCTTCAAGGAGGACTTGCGTTGCATGGTGGCGTTCTGGTGGAACCAGTCTTGCTCCGAGTCTTTGGGGACCCAAAATGATTCAGGCGGAAAGTCAAAGTTGGTCTGAGATCGAGAGCCATCCTCCTCGGCGGCCACGCGATTTTCATCGGAGCTGGCACCAGCAGAAACGAGGGTATTAGTTTTCATGGTGATGAGGAGAATGAAGAAGACGACGATGGAGTTAAAATAAGACAGGGGGGAGGGGTGTGGTGGGAGAGATTTTTCAAGGGGCCGTTTTATTTGGTGTTTACCTATTCGAAGGTGACATGCAATCAAATATTGACACCCAAATCAGCTTCCTAGGTGGCTATTGTACAATTCGTTTATTAGTATCAGTAACACATTTGTTGACTATGTTTTTCGTCTTATGTGGCTTATCTGGTCAACGTTTTGAACAAATACGTAATTTTGATTTTGGACGCTGAATTGTAGAGTTATTTTTCTGATTGTATTGACTCAAGTTACTGTAAATTACTCTCTCCATCCCACAATGAATTTCACAGTTTTACCTACACACATATTAAAGAAATAAACTTACAATGTGGTAAATTTTATTGTTTTGACACTGTTTCGACACTGTTTAGCACTGTTTGCACTGTTTCGGCACTGTTTAGCAATGTTTTGCACTGTTTGACATTGTTTTGATGTAGATTAACTTGCTATTTAGGGAAATGAGAACTTGTTTCTCGGACATCTAAAAAAGGATGAAAGTGGGAAGTTCATTGTGGGGCGGAGGGAGTACTATTTTAGCTATTTTTTATAATACTATAATTTTTTCTTTATTTTATTAATAAAATATATTTAATACGAAGTATATAATTTTTTCGTAAATATACATAATCAACCAATAGAGCCATTTCAATCAGAACTTCAAAAATGCCAGCAGAATCAGTCGATTCAATCGATTTCGGTGTTAACAAACGGGTTATTATTATTATAGAAACTATCATCATCATCATCATCATCATCATCATCACTCTCTGATCTCCGCTCCATTAAGATTGTCTCATAATCTACTTTTCTTAATAACCATGTCACTTCTTCATGTATCAATGTTAGTGGGATGGTGGTAGTATTAAATACTTTATTTTATTATTGTTTGAGCTCATTTGGTTACGTTGGAATTGGCTTAATCGACTTAATCTGTTGAAATGGTTGAATAGATTAATAGTGAAAAAAATACATTGTAGCTCAAAGGATCATATACGGTAAATTCAGTAAATCTAGCCATAAAAGTAACTTCACGCTTATTTATTTTGATTATTACATCGTTCAACGCGTGAAATTAAAAATTAATGGTAAAAAAGTTGATTGATGAAACTCATGGAATGAAAACATATGTTACCAAACAGGCTCTTATTGTCATTATTATTTTATTAGTGTGTATTTATTTTTTGTTGTATTATTATTATTATTATTATTATTATTGTTGTTGTTGTTGTTGTTGTTGTTGGATCTGATTCTTAAAACCGATTCTGCTTCTTTAGGGAGCAGAAACAGAAGTTGTAGTGTTTCTAGTGCACTAATTAATGTACTCCTAGAATCAGTTTTTCTAGAAGACGGGAGGGATCAGCTTCTAAAAACTGATTCTTATTCTACTTCTGTTTTAAAAAATAAGAAGAAGCAGAATTACCTGCAAACACCCCTAGATCTCATGTTAGATTTACCCAACATCAATAGGGTTCCACAAAACAAAATTAAACAAGTAAGCTCAAGTTTGACCAGCCCGGCCAATTCACTAATGGTCGAACTCATATGCTTGTGTGATGACTGAGCTAAGTCAACGAATGAGTCGAACTGAAGTTACGCTTGAATGTTGAGTTGAGCCAAAATAGCATGCATCAAAATAGAACTCAGAATTATAATCAGGCCCCTTATAATTACGTTACATTACTGTTATTGAACAACTGAGTCCGAATTGATTAGAATCGAGCTTGACTTGCAGGCGTGACTTTATCTCGTTTAGTTTTTTTGGTCTTGTTAATGACAATCTTCTTGATTGGGATGAGACTCGAACTTGTGACATCCCTCACTACTAAAAAATTGGCTTACAGTGACACTTTTTCAGTGACACTTTTTCAGTGACACTAGAACATCAATACAACTTTAACGACACATACGTATCACTATTTTTAGGCATAATAACATCCGTATAAAGTAGTGACACTCATAAATATTTTTTATTAACTTTTTTATTTTTAAGTCATTCCTTTATTCTTAATCCTTCCTATTCACGTATCTCTCTAGCTAGTGCGAGAAGCTCCTGAGCGCGATCTCTCTCTGGTAGCGTCGGTCTCACGCCCGATGACTGTGCGGCAGCGATGCCGCCGGCGGAGGGACACGAACCGGTGACTGCTCCGATCGCTCAATCATACACAACGGCAGTAAGGGATATCCTTCCCGACCAACAACTGCGCTGTCAGCCGTATCTCTTCTCTGATGTAGACTTCAACGGAATGTCGGTCAAATCGCCCAACCTATTTAAGAGTTTGCCGGCTGTTTCATTCACTAGAGGTGACGTTCAGGTCCTTGCCTCTAAATTCCGATTCGCCCTAGTTCAGACCTTCCCACTCAAACGACCACCCTTCTCTGCTATACGGAAAGATATGGAAGCGATTGGTTTTTCCGAGTCACACTTTGTCGGGCTTCTTCACTCGCACCGAATTCTGGTAAATTTCATCTCAGACTCTGATTTTCAAAGGTTTTGGTTGAAAAACACTTGGGACTTCTTCGGATCTCCGATTAAAGTCACCAGGTGTACACCATCCTATTCTGATGATTTCGGTTGCCCCTTGTGTCCCGTTCGGGTGGCCCTAGATGGGCTACCGATCCATATTTATGATGCTAGAGCTTTATTCTCTATTGCTAGTTTATTGGGCAAACCTCTCAAAATTGATGCTCCTACTGCTAATTTTTCCAGACCAAGCACGGCTAGAATTTTGATTGAAATTGATGTTGCTAAGGATCTGCCTCCCAAAATATGGATTGGAAATGGTGATACCTGTTTTTTTCAGACTATTGTTTATGAAAATTTACCAATTTTATGTCATTCTTGCTCTAGATTTGGCCACACATCTCTGGTTTGTCCCCCGGGCAACCAAAACCCTTGTGCAAGCCACCAAAATTGTTATGAATGCTCCTTGTGCCCCTGTTATTAATTGGTAAAGCAACTGCCCAGGCAGCCTCCAGTGCCCCTGTCCCTTTAGTTAAAGATAAAAGCCAGGTTTCATATATTTATACGGCAGCGATTACCACTGACTGTGTTGCTTTACAAGATCAAACTCCAGCTCCTATTGTTTTGGCTGGTATAGAAGCACCTGTTGTTAATCATTTAGAAACTGATGGTTTTAAAAATAGCGAGGTTTTCCAAGCTTTTAACTCTGATTGTGTTGCTCTACATGTTCAAACTTTGGTTCCTATTTCCCCTAAGACACCCGTTGATATTACCCCTACTGTTATGGCTGCTAATGCACTTCGAAATGATGCCTTTGGCACTCATTATGCCCCTTTACAACCTGGTTTTGCAGCCACCTGTGAGGGCCCTATAGAGTGTGCTGGTTCTGATTCTGTCCTTTACGTTGAATATGATTTTACAACCAGTAATGAGGAAGCTGGTCCTACATATGGTATTGATATTGAAATTGTCCCTGTTGAACTTACTGTCCCAGTCCCTTTTGATTCTGGTTTAGGAGCCAGTAATGGCTGTCTGACAAATTTGGATACCACAGTAGCATTTGATGAACCCCGGTGGCCACCTCTTGTAAGGCGGTAACCGTTGGTGTAGTTCATCACCATTTGATGGTGCCCACTGATACTCACTTGATTGAAACTACTGCTGCCAACAGAAAACACACCACACAAACGGGAGATGATGAATTTATCTCTGATCCCCTCGAAGTTGATACTGCAGAAACCACTTCCTTATCCAACTATGATGATAAACTGGATATCTGTGATGCTGGCAATACTACACCTGTCCCAATCCTGTCCAGTGATGAAACTATCTCTGAGGACACTTGAACGCTAATTTTTTCTTTTTCAGGTCATACATATAATCTCGACGAAGGAAACCTTGAAGGATTTACTTTTATGATTTTATCTAAATGATTCATTCTTTTCAGTTGTGTTCAAATTTGGAACTGGTGTTATTACTAAAAGTGTGTATGCTTACTTATCTATACAAATTTAAACATTGAACTAACCTTCACATACACATGCAGGAAGATACTTCAGAAATTAAGCAATGATTGAGCCTCTCCCACGGTCCTGCCATAATATATACGATAGTACATTTTTAGCAAATTTAACAACACTGATTACACGTAAATTAACATCTTTTAGGCTTTTAAAATTGCTTGTGTTTTATTTGAAGTGTTTTTGTTTTTGTTTTTATTTTTGTTTTATTTATTATAATCTGCACGACTAATGTTTTTATTGATGAATAATCTCCGGAAAAGAGCCAAGCCACCAACAGAGTATGTCATCCGCTCCCCTAGATATTCATAGTACTCTTTTTCAGTTCACTACTAAAAAACTGGCTGAAATAGGGTTTGGACATGTGCCAAATGGAAATGCCGAAACTGCCCTGCCATTGTCTTCTTTTGGGAATCTGTCAACTCAGGTAAAACTTCTTGTCTTCTTCCTTCTCAATACCCCAAAAGTGGAACAGGTTATGATCATTAATAAAACTGCCTTGCCATTGTATACACCTCAACACCGGTTGCCTTGTGCTTTTTATTTCATCAGAAATACTTATTACTCTCTAATCTTCTTACATTAATGAATGATATGCTGTTGGTGCAGGCTAATCCTATAATTAAGAGAGATCTTTTAAATTACAAAGGTTCGCTGAATAAATGGCTTTTCACACATTCCTTCCATTTTAGTTTTTGATTTTCTTTTACCTTGATTCTTATTTGTGCACTAAATGAAGGCCTTTTCGTTATATATTTTTGTTGTTGTACCGTTGCTGCAGCTGCAATGGACATCCTAGTGTTGATTTGATTCAAAGAAGTTGTTTTGACGAATGAAATGGGAAGAAGAGAGGATTGCTTGTTCCTGAAAATAGACGATCATGGCCTCCTGTGCAGTGGCTTGCAAAGTCGTCTCTTGAGGCATACATTGCTTAGCAGACGGCATTGATATGTACTCTTGCTTAGCAGACGGAATTGATATGTACTCTTGAGGCATATTATGTACTCTTACGACTAGTTAACTTTTTATTA